AAAAATTTTACACTCTGTCCGGCATTACGGCCATGTCCCTCAGAAAATGTCTGATATCTGACTTTCCACACTGCCCTTTACCTGTGACCTCCAAATTTCGCACGTGGTGATGGTTTTTCCTGGCCCATCCACGACTATAACCGAATATTAAGAGCATAGGTCAAGGCCGTTAAGATTTGTGCCGGCGCAATTCCGTATTTCCTCCTATTACCTTAAAATTAAGGGTGAAATATTCCCCCTCCTTACACATCTTGACTTTTGACCCTGTGACCCCCAAATTTGTCCATTACTGAGTCCCTTTTCACGATCCCCCCCCCCTCCCCCGACGTTCCGAATATCGTGACCTATTTGTCGAGGCGTTAAAGATTTTGCCCACTGTTGACGACCGCACGACGCACAGACCGCACAGACACGCACAGACGCACGCACGATCATCGATGCATACATACGACTTACGTCAATTGACAGGATGGCTAAAAAGTGAAGGCAATCAAAACTGTGCCAATAAATTTGTTTGGCTTAAATTTGTAACCAAAAATACGAAGTAGAAAAAGATGTTCTGTTCAAAAGCAGCATTATTGTGGCCTTCTTTTCTTTATGTTGGCTGGACATTTGGCCTGGCTTCAGTTAATGCTGGACTTCTGGTGGTACTTTTTTTGTTTTGTTCAACCAGTAAAAACACTGCCCACGTGCCAGGGCCCAGAGGTTGCTGATTCTAGTACACACTCAAAGGCGCAGCTGCATCCACATGGGTCGGCGCTACTTATGGTTTGGAGTAAAAATAGTACGCAGCACTGGCCGTAGTGTACCTGAGTCGTGTGCCAGAGCCTCCATCGAATCGTAGCATCAAAACAGAGCTGTACGACAACTTAACACCCACCGCGCGCCCAACCACGTCAAGTCCTCCCTGAGTTTATTGCCCCTTGATCGTAAAAATATAGTGTGCGCTGGCACTACAATCGCACTGGCGCCGTAGCGCCCAGGACCTTCCCCTAAGGTCGAGATCCCGGGCCAGGCCTCAGCCGCGCAGAGCTGTACGCGAGTACACACATCCGCGGACCCAGGCCCGGCCGCCTAGTATAGCCCCTTTGATCGTACGGTGCACGACCCGCTTCGCTCGAGAGGCTTGCGCGTGAGCACCACCTCATCCTTGTATTGTTTTTCCCACACGCCCTTAGTGGCGCACCCGTCCTCGTGTTACCAGCCGACGACACTCGGGAGCCCAACGCACCGCGGCCCACTACACGCAGCGATGTAGCCGATGCAGACACTCTGCGAAGGCTGCGGAGCCCTGCTCCCCACCACACAGCGTGGCGACTCTCAGGTCAAGTTATAGTGAGGCCCGCCGTAGCGTCTAGCTGTGGCCGGCTACCACAGGTGTCCGCTAGACAGATTGTCGTGGTTTGGTTACACTAGCCCACTTTAGAGCACGCCGACCGACACATCAGGGCCCGACGCAACACATACCCAAGACTGGACCATCTCTACTCGGAGGGCATCTGCAAAGCAACTTCGCTCCTGCGGCGACGCAAGATCCCTCGCATGCTCTGCATATCGCCTGTGGCCAGTGCCGTGACACGGCAGTTGTCTTGTTCCGCGCCGTAGGGCAGACGGCGGAGAAAGAGTGTCCCCGGCCCCGGCGGCTCAGCCCAGCGGCACGTCCGGCTGTCACTGTAAAATTCGCAATGCAGTGAGCGGCCTCTGGGCATCTCGGTTAGTAGTTGGCCCTGCACTCGCTGAAGGCTATAGGTGTCAGGTCGCCGGAAATGTAAAGCGCCGGAATGCAAACCAGGGAATAACCCCCTATGTAGCAGGCGCGCCAAGTGCGACAGGAGTACGCCCCGGACCGCGCCATACGCCACCGACGCCGCCACTTGAAAGAAGAGCTGAGAGACAAATAAGCCCCAGACTCTCACTGCGGGGGCCCGTCGTTGTCCGGGCCGCGGGGCGCCGCCGCGGGCCAACTTTTGTCAAGGATTTTGGGATAAGCTAGTCGAGTTGACATACGAATTGCCACAGCGTGTTGCTAGCAGCGCCTGCGCGTAATACAGTGCGCATAACAGCAGCATATACATCGAGCGTTATACAGGGTGCAGCACTGTTACAATCCAACTAATCCACAGACAAGATTCCTCCAAGGCGCACTTATATGCCTGGCGGCCTGCAGGCTATCGCGAGCCCCGCCATCTAAATGCACTGGCCGCCACGCTAAATCTCATAGCCCGCCATGCTGGGTATAGACAAAAGTTAAAAGTACAATTATACACGTTGGTTCGATGCTACGGCGTACCGGCAGTCCCACACACAAGTACAAACCGTCACCCTTCCCTAACCCTAACACAAACTCTAAAGCCGACTCGGCTATCTTATATACGCGTGTTATAGTACCCAAAATTAATCTATGGTGTATAACTTTTTGCTTTAAATAAATTTGGCATCTGAACTGACAATCAATCCCAAACAACCTGGTGTTCTAGGCTTACTGGCACAATAATGTTCATTTTCATACTTCAAAATCCGAGGATTTTGGGGAGCGGGTAAGCCCAGTCTAAACGAGGTAGAGTAGGCTGGTACACTTACGACACACTCCTGCATATTGTCAATGCATGGTGAACAACATTTTTTTTTTTTTTAATGAGAGGTGAACTCGATTTCTGAACGGCAGCAAACCAGCAGTTCACCCCTACTATTTTTGGTATTTTTATTCCATTAATTATTTTGAATTTTTCCGATGGCTTTGCCCATGAAAAACAAACATTTTCACCCCACATGCAGTGCTT